GGCAGCTGAAGATTGCTCCGTAGAAGGCGACCACAAAGTTGAAGGTGGTCCGAGGTCGATTGAAGCCATGCTGAGCAAAAGTCGTAGGAGGTTGACAGCAATCAAAGTGAAAATGGCTGCGGTGAGATAGGCTAGTAATCAACATCCAAAGATCTCAGAAATCGCAAAGACCGAGAAACAGCTGTACAAAGTGGTTACGTGCATGAGAAACGAGCTGAATTCTAAGTACTCAATGGTTCTGCAGTGCATGGACATTGTTTGCTGATGGCGCGCCGAAGAGAGCTGGGTGAGACCGAAACTATACAAAATAGCTACCGATGTCAGCCGCTGCGAGTTCCGGATGACTGTCCTCACTGATGATTTCTGGCACGGCGTCAGCTGTGACTGAGGCAGCCAGTGCAGGCGATGGAGGTGTTGTAGGTGTGTAGGAGAAGTCTCGGGCTGAAGGTGGTGCCGGTGGTGGAAGCGCTGCTGCCGAGGGAAGCATCTGGGCCGGTGAGGCCGGTGGTGTGTTGGCAGGTGAAGTGGGTGTAGGTGACGGTGGTGGGTGGATTGCATTGTGTTGGTGTTGAGGGGCTTGAAGTTCTTCCCAACGTGCTTTGCACTGCTCAATGGAAAAACCTACTCGACGGGCAAGTAGTTCCAGTTCGGGCGAAGACGAGCATCAGTTTTGAGCTCGACAAGGCGGACATCTGCATCAGCGTCCCAAGCATCCCAATCAGCATCTTCGTTGAGGGGTGGTGGAGGCTGGCGTTTGCGCTTGGGCTGTGGCAGTGGTGGTGAGGAAGAAGAGGCCGAGGATGCTTGTGAAGGAGGAGGTTTCGGTGGTGCATGTTTGATGGGAGCAGCAGGAGCCGAGTCGCAAGAGGAAGTGGGGGAGGGAATGGGGACGGCTGTGAGGGGAGCTGGAGGGAGAGTCGGAAAAGGTCGATGAAATTGAGGGTCGACCTGTTGTGTGTGGACGAGATAGAAACTGTGCAAGTTGGACAGGATGTCTGTTGCTTGCTGGAGTAGACGATGAAGCTGGCTGAGGGCAATAGTGGTTCGATGGAGAAGTCGAACCTGGTCTGCATGAGACTGCATCTGAAAAGGCCGTGTCAAGGTAGCGAAAGCGGCGGACTGGAGCGTCGATTGGCGCAGCTGTAGTATCAACGCTGCATAATCGGCGGGAAAATAACATGCGGCGCGTGCAGGTGAATTACGAAGATGAATTATTGAGCATGAATTTTGCAGGATATACATAAACGTGAATGGAATCTGAAAAACTGCATCGGTGGAAAGAAGAAAAATGCACAAGACTCTCAAGTACGGTCAAAGCCCAAGGCCTTTGGTCTGACAAATCTAGAGAAAAAGCCAAGTGAGCATACATGAGAAATCAATCAGGATGTCAAAAGGAGCCGCTAGAAATTTTGTTTGAATTGAAAAAAGGATACGATAGGCTGACGTTGCAAAGCTCTGAAACATGTCCTGCAAGTAAAGCATCAGAGCGCGGTTTTTTCAAAGCCGGAGTTGGTGGCGAGGTGAAACGTAGGGACAGGCTGCTCTCAGGCATTGGGAGGTAGCGTGGAGGTGGAGGTGGAGATGGAGCTGGCGGTGTGTTGTAGGACCTCAAAGGTCTGGAGGGGTGGCATTTATAGACCATGCCAGCCCCTTGACGATGGCATTATTGGGGTGAATCACCCAGCAGCGGGCCTTGGAGTGGCAAACAGCGCCATGATCTTGTTGCAAAAGATGCATGGCCTGGGCTTCACCTCCGCTGGTGAACTTCGTCCCACGGCCCCAAGCAAGGAGATGGACCATGATGGAGTGGACGTTTTTTGCCATCTTCCATGTGTTGTGTAGAATGCGGGCCTGTTCGTAGTTGTCGTGAATGTGTTGGTGGGTGATGCGTGTGGCTTGGGCAAAAAAGCCCGGGTTGGCCTCGAAGTGAAGGGTACTGGGGAGGAGACGACCCTGTTGTAAAATGGCAGCAATGTTGCCATAGGGGCCGGTGTGGCATGCATTGATGTGAACTGTTTCAGGGGCAGTGGAAGTGGCCCGAGTGGCAGGTGGTGGCAGTGGGCGAGTGGCTTTGTCGACGAGGCTCGGGATGTTGATACAGTGATAAGAGAAAGTGTCGTAGGCATTGGTGGTGTCATTCCATTTCACATGGGTGAGTTGGCGGAAGTCTGCCAAATCATCAAACACAAAGCCGGTGTCTGCAAGAAGTTTGGCGATGTAGAGATGTTGTGGTCTGTTCTCTGCGGCAAACTGGGCTGCATGGAAATCTAGCCACCATGCTATCTGTTCTTGCGGCGACAGCTGCTGGAAATGTGGAGGAGGTGGCTTCCAAGGTGGGTGGGGGCGTCGTAGCGCCGGAAAGTTGGGGTAGTCCGCTTGGGACATGTTTGTGATCTGACTGTGAGATGTGGACTGTTGATTGGGCCGGAGAGTAATAGGTGCATGGGAGCATGTGTGGGAATTGCTGGCTGAAGACGTGGTAGATGTGGTGGAGGGAGAGCGGCGACGTCGGCGGCGTGCCGAGGACGCTTTGGCGGTGGAAGTCGCAGGGGAACGTTGGCGTTTGTCACGTGTATGGCAACTGCGGTGGCGGCGACGCCGTTTGCTACGGCTTCGGCCACGATGGCTGCGGCCAGTGGTGGTAGGAGGAGCCGGTGCTGCTGTGAGAGGTTGTGAAGGGGGCTGCTTGGGAGGCGGTGCTGTTGGGGTTGTGGATGCTGCCGGAGATGCTGGTGGTGGTGGCGGTGTTGGCTTGGCGGTGGCTGGTGGCGGAGCAGTGGAAGTGTGTGTAATTGGTGCGGCGGTGGTGGCAGTGGTAGCTGGTGAGGATGTCTCCTGAGTAATAGCGACTGATGGTGGGGCGTTGGAAGCGCCGGGAGGGGCGTTGGGAACGCCAGAGGGGAGTTGTGGATATGTTGGAGTGGCCGAAGCAGTTGTGTTCGGAGCCGGTGGCGAAGGGTGAGCAACTGGTGGAAAAGCCGAGAAAGGTTGCCAAACACCTTGAGATTGGTCCCAGTGGATGGGGACCTGTTGGATTGACGGCTGTGGTTGTGATGCTTGAGGAGCAGGTAAAACGGATGGTGTTGGTGGTGCATGTGGTATAGTGGGTGGATGAGGTTGTGTTGGTAGGGCCTCGAATGCCTGCATCTGTGGAGCTGTTGGGTGGGCCTGTGTGGGAGCCACAAAGGTTGGTACTGGTGGAGAATGTGCTGGCATGGGATGTGGCCACGCATGAGGTGGCGGTTGCTGCGGAGTGGGCTGAAAGTGGGGTAGAAAAGCTTGCTGTGATGGATGGGATAAAATCGTAGGAACAGGTGCCGTTGGTGGAGAGTGGTGCCATGGCGGTGGCTGAGTGGTGACTGCGGGAATGGAGGGTGCGGTACAGGGCGGTGGCCAATGTGGATAAGGACAAGGGTATACTGCATGTAGAGAGGGCCGTCTGAGTGGCTGCGAGAAAATGGCGCCGGCGCGGCGCAGCAGCTGAAAGGATAAATTTGAGGATGGCAGTGAATTCGGGAACTCAGTATGTGTGCAGTGAAAAATTAATTAAGTTGAAAAATTGGCATGCATTATAGTCTCCGGGATGTGAGCTTGCATACGTTGATCGTCGGTCAAATGGCTGCGGGTGGGAAATTAAATTGAAGTTGGAGAAAAAGCAGCAATGCACAACACGAATGAATGTCGGAGCGTTGAGTGGATAGTTCCTCGCTTATAGCCCGGCGGCTCGAAAATCAGGGAATTCAGGGATAAAATGGAAAACGTGGGGTCAGTTATAAGAATGAAAAAACGATGCTTTCCGGAATGATAGCAGCGCCTCCTTTCGGAGGATCACACCCAGTACCCGAGTGGGAAGACTGAGCGGGTCACACTTCGAACTTGGGTTTTCAGTTAGACTCAATTGCCACGTTGAGAAGTAAGGCGAGGGAACGGAAAGGTGCATGGGTCAGCCAAAAAGTATTGTTGAACAATGTTTTCGAAAGCGCTCAAGTGGAAGCGGCGTTCAGCAGCTGCAGTGCGGTGGGAAAACTGTTTAAGGGGAAGGATCACATGAAACACCATGAATCAAACCAAAAGAGTGGACAGCGTGTGCAAAAGTTCATTGAGCAGGTACACAATGCGGCGTCCCGCATTGCTTCACCACGAGCTGACAGCGTCTTCGTTGGGCAATGTCTGTCAGTCGTGCATTGCCCCCCTGCCTGTGATGAGGTCATATGAGTGGAAAAATTAAATTGGAAACGGTGACGCTGGTAGTGGAGGGGTGAACAATTGAAAGCCCTTAGAACCAGGGTGTGACACACACACACACACACTTAGCAAATGCGTACTGAAAGGAAAGCCGCTCGCCACACAGCAGCCTAGGTATCCATTATCCTAAGGCCAGGTAAACAAAGACCGGACAATTTCAAACATTGTCCAACCAAAGCGAAGGCGACCGAGCGACAAGGACGACCGAAACGTGCAAAGTCTGCCGACCTACCTCCACCCAAGCAGCCTGAAGGTTAGATTGGGGTGTAACTATACTTTCCCTCGCCACAACTAAGCAGGTACAATGCTTCCCACTCTCGCCCACAGCTTCGTTGCGTGTGGTAGGACGAGAGTGCCACGCCCCTGCTATTGAATTGGGCAAAGAGAAAGGAAACAGGGTTTCACACACACGCACACACACTGGTCGACTTTCACATCTCCATCTCTCCTTTTCATTGACCTTCCGGGTCGCTCAGCTATGTATATATATACTGTAGTATTTCGAGTATTTCTTAAATACTTGCTCATTGTCACTGCTCACTTTGTCACTTGCTCACTCATTCCTCCCGCGGTTTCCATGTTTGTGTGGCTCTCACATTCTGGCAGACTTCGCGGGCAACTTGATGCTTCCAGCCTTGCAACGGCACTTGGTATGATGGCAAGCTGGGGGGAAGCTGGGCCCAAGGGTTTCAGAACTGCCAAAGCTGCTAGATTCTAGATGCCGATATGCGTGTGATTGCATGTGCATGGGGCAGGAATTGATGAACAAGATGGGCGGAGAGTTCATGTCCTTGGGGTTCATCGCCTTCATGATCTTCTGTCGGAGTCTCATTTACGGCAGTATATTTGAAGGTTTGCGATCTCAGCGTGCTTGGTTCGAATGATAGGTGGCTTTGGGTGGGGCAAGTGCTAGACTTCGCCCCCACTCACTGACTCGAGGTTCTAATCAGCTTGGGTTCTTTGACTTTATTGCTGAACGCTTGCCGGCCTGTGGCACTTTGGCTGGGTGAGTATCCGCTCAAGGCTTTGGACACACTCCTTGCAGCTGCAAGAGTTCTGCGGACTATACTTAAGTTGACCACTGAATGTACAAATCATGTCACATTGCTGTTTGCTTGGGTTTCAATGCTATCAGTTTCTCCTGAGGCAAGAGCGCCACTCCAGATTGTGTAATGCTGCCATACACTGGCATCGTTACTGTGACTGCAGCAAAATGAATGCATGGATGATTCATAGAACTTTGGTTCAGGCGTTTGCTCCATGTTTACTCAGGTTTTCCCTAACCTCAGGTGGAATTCATGGTTTGTGTGCTGGAACACTTAGGATTGGCTTCACCTTATCGCTTCTTGGCACTTGCTCTTGATGCAGGCATAGAGGTGACAATGGTTTCGGAGGCTGCATGTAACCTATTTTTTGGTTTCTTAGATTTCCACCAGGCAAAAAAAACACAGATATTTGAAAAAGGAAGATACGGTTCCTTTTAAGGGGCCTTACCTTCCTTTGTTCATTTTTTCTAGATTTGTTGTCCTTTTTTCCGGTTGAGGATGGTAGAGATTCTCAGATCAGCCAGTGCAATGTCCATGGTTCTTTATGTAGCTACTGCACTCTGTGTGCCTTTCTCAGTCAACCAAGGAGCTTGTTCACGTCCAGCTTTTCGTGGGAGGCTTGCTGGCAAAGAGAGAGAGAGAGAGAGAGCGGCGAATTGTCCTGGCGCTAGTGACGTGCCATTTTGCGTCGTTCCCAGTTCTTGCTGTATGGCCCTTTGCACGACTTTGAGATCTGAGTTTTGATACTAGCGACCATTCATTGATCCGAACTCGTTCTTACAAGAGACTCACAAGGAATGATGCTCTACTTCTTGCTCATGTTTGGAGTAGTTCGTGGAAGCGAATCCTGACTGCAAGTCTTTTTGGCCTCCCCTGCATTCTGCTCAAAGGTTCCAAAGTCTGGTCATCGCGTTTATAAGCGAGGCCGGCAGACAGAAAGACCTTGCATGGAATAGAGCTGAGGTCCGGCAGATACAACTGTGAGAGTCGCTACGTTTGCGCCGCATTACAAACGTACGTATGTGACTTGGCAGCATACAATGGTTGGAGGGCAAATATATAAACTACAAACCCTCCCTCCATGTTGACTTCACACATGATCAGAGTTGCTTCGCACAACTGACTTGAAGGCTTCTGTCGCCGCTGCTAAAGAGTACCAGCACTATTGTTGTCCATGCTGTGCAGAATCAGCTCAGGGATCGTACATTCTCACAAACTTTGCGGAGTTCTAACAAGGACAAGGACCTGCAAGAGTATGTGGCCAGGAAGCATCCCCGCTTGAGATTGTTTGAAGCAGCATTCCCTAAAGTTCCAGAACAAGTAGTGATCGCAGCAAAATGCTTCGGAGTTTCTGGGTTGTTAGGCTGTGGGCCCACTGTGTGCACGCGGTGAGGTTTGTTTGAGGGAGTACTTGGTGGTTCACGTCCTTGAGTGGAAACACCAACGCCACGGCCTTACCACTGATTCTGCCCTCAGTTCCGCTATGGTGCATCGTGTTCTTTACTCTGCATACGTAATATAACAACATCCATAACTATCATCTATACAGTTCATATCCATACTATGCATAAACAGTTGTAAAAATATCGTCTAGTGACACATGCCGTTGGAAAGTAGCACCTTAATTGAATCTCAATCATTCGTCAAGACTTTTGGGAGTACTTGTGTATATTCTTCCAGCTGCAAATGGACATGATAGAATCAAATCATAGAGTATCTCTAACCCTTGAATTGAATTGGGATGGACTGGCAGTTCGAGGAAAAAAGGCGGCAATTGAATCATGAGAGGAGCAAAGAGGAGAGGCAGAAGGAAGGAAGAAGAGGAAAAAGGAAAGGAAAGGAAGAGGAAAGTGAAGGGAGAAGAAGGGGGTTCGGAAGAGGAAAGGACATGAACATTCAAAGTTTAAATTAAAGACAAGACGAGTCAGCCAAAAGAAAAAAAGGCAGAAAGAGACAGCAAATAACATATGTTTTCTATTTCTAGCATATTTCATGAATTCCATGCCCGATCTTTGGAGCTGTAGCAGTGGTTTGAACAAGTGTATGTGTATATATATATATATGGTCCCCTTGTCCATTCGATTTGCCTGCTTGTTTTGCGTGCAGCTTTAACTTTTTTGTTCTGCTTGGTTTCACGGTGAGGTTCTCCTCAGGCCCAATGAATGAGTTTCTCATTGATCAACGCATGCTTGTAAATTTGTTTCTCCAATCAGCTTGGTACAGCCGCTCTGTGATTCAAGGACCCAAGCTATTCAAGCAGGTGGTCGAAGCTCTTGGGATGGTCAACCTTCCTGAGCCGCAGGAGGACAGCGTGTTTGAACAACAGCAGCTGGCCCCCTCACCATGCCAGGTTTTTGTGACATATCCGGAACCAGAGCAACTGCTGAATATTGTTGTCAGTACTGACGCAGAAAAAGAATATGGCCTGACATTTTCCCCACATCGCTATGTGGGGTTCTTGTTTTTCGCTCTGCGCCCGCCGCTCCGCGTCCGCCTCCGCCGCCCGCCCGCCCGCCGCTCATCGTACACGACCTATTTTACACCACCCAGCTCACACTACTCATCTTACACCACCGATCTCACACCACCTCTCTGACACCACTCATCTTACACCACCTCTCTGACACCACCATCTTACATCACCCATCTTACACCGCCCATATCACACTACTCATCTCACACCACCATCTTACACCACTCATCACGAAAGCTAGCTAGCTGTAGCTAGCTGGAGTCTGTCTTGCTTTAGCAAGGAGGGTGGGAACCCAGGACCTGAGTGCTAACACCTGATATATCAGGAGTCTACCCCCCCCCTGCTGCTGCTGCTGCTGCCTGGTACCTGCTGCCTGCTGCTCCTTGCTGCTGATGCTGTCTGGTACCTGCTCCTTGCTGCTGCTGCTGCCTGGTACCTGCTGCTTGCTGCTGCTGCTGCGGCTGCTGGCTGCTTGCTGCTGCTGCTTGCTGCTGCTTGGTAGCTGCTGCTGCTTGGTGGCAGCTGCTGCTTCTGCTGCTTGGTAGCTGCTGCTGCTTGGTTGCTGCTGCTGCTGCTGCTTGGTAGCTGCTGCTGCTTGGTAGCTGCTGCTGCTTGGTAGCTGCTGCTGCTTGGTAGCTGCTGCTGCTGCTTGGTAGCTGCTGCTGCTTGGTAGCTG